AAATAAAATAAAATATTTATTTATGATTTTCATGACTGTTATGACATATTTATTTTTGACTTTCAGGAATTATGCACTGAAAACTATGAACAAACTGTAAACAATTCCTGAAATTAAAGAAGACAGAAATAGATGGAAAGGTATCTCATGTACATGAATTGGAAGACAATATTGTTAAGATGTCAGTATTATCCAAAGTGATCTGCAGATTCTGTGCAATCCCTATTAAAATCTCAATGATGTTTTTTGAAGAAATAGAAACATTCATCCTAAAATTCATGTGGAACCTCCAGGGGCCCCGAATAGCCAAAACAATATTGGAAAAAAAAAGCACAAGTTGGAAGACTGACACTTTCTGATTTCAAAACTTACTATATTAATAAAAACAGTGTGGTACTGGCATAAAGGAAGACATATAGATCAGTAGAATAGAATAGAGAACCAAGAAAGAAACCCTTGTATATATGGTCATATAATTTTCAACAAGGATGCCAAGATCATTCAGTGGGGAAAAGGACAGTCTTTTCAATAAATGATGCTGGGAAAATTGGATATCCACATCGGAAAGAACGAAATTGGACCCTTACTTCACACCATATACAAAAGTAACTCAAAATGGATCAAAAATCTACACGTAAGAGCTAAAACTACAAAACTCTTTGAAGAAAACATAGAGGAAAAGCTTCATGACATTTGAGTTGGCAATGATTTCTTGAGTATGGCACCAAAATCATAGGCAGCAAAAGGAAAAACAGAGAAATTGGACTTCATCACTTTTGTGCATCAAAGAATACCATCAAGAATGAAATAATAACCCACAAAATGGGACAAAATATTTGAAAATCATATATCTGATAAGTGCTTAATATCCAGAATATTCAAAGAACTCCTAAAATTCAAGAACAAATAAACATCTCAAAAATGGCAAGAATGTGGGGCGCCTGGGTGGCACAGTTGGTTAAGCGTCCGACTTCAGCCAGGTCACGATCTCACGGTCTGTGAGTTCGAGCCCCGCGTCGGGCTCTGGGCTGATGGCTCGGAGCCTGGAGCCTGTTTCCGATTCTGTGTCTCCCTCTCTCTCTGCCCCTCCCCCGTTCATGCTCTGTCTCTCTCTGTCCCAAAAATAAATAAACGTTGAAAAAAAAAATGGCAAGAATGTGAATAGACATTCCTCCTAGGAAGATGGTGTTTGCCAAAGTAGAGTGGTTACCAGAAGCTGAGGGGAGAAGGATATGAGGCATTATTGTTTAATGGGTACAGAGTCCCAGTTTGAGAAGATGAAAACATTCTGAAGATGAATAGTGGAGATGATTGCACAACAATGTGCCTTAATGCCTCTGAACTGTATACTCAAAAGGGTTAAAATAGTAAATTTTATGTTGTGTACGTTTTACCTTAATAAAAAAGTGCACACATGCTCACCATACGATGACTGTTCTTAGGCAAAGCATGCCATTGCCAGTTCCTGTCCCCACCCCTCCTAATTATTATCACAGATGGTCTGATTCACTCATTCCCTGTTTCCTGAAAGCACTTGTTAGTAAATTCTGCAAATGTAAATTACTTACAAGCCCAGCTCTTAGGTGAATGCCTAAAGGGCAGAGACTTTAATTGATTGCTCACTGTGGTGTCCACAATACTAGGTACATGGCTGGCACTAAATACTTACTGAATGAGTAATACTAGCAAATGTACTTGAGTCTGCTCAGGGTCACTCTCAGTTGGAATCGTATTTTAACTCAAATATGAGAGAGGAAAAAAAAAACAGAAAAAAACACCAAGTAAGTAGAGTGAAGAATAAAATAAAAGGTACAAATTTGAATGAAAGAGGGAAGAAGTTACAACTGAGAGAGGATCATCCAATCAGAAAAAAAAAAAAAAAAAAAAAAAAAAAAAGGAAACTGGCTCTTTGAGACTAAAAACAGTGCCAACGCCATATGACCACACTGATTTAAAAAAAAAAGAAACACGAATAAAACAAGAGGACAGAATTAAAGACACTGCACTGTTGAGTTTCCAAATTTATGGACAATAAATCTGAAAACTTGGTTGAAATGGATTTCCTAGAAAATTACAACTTTCAAAAGTGGCTCAAAAATAAAATCATCTTCACATCCATAGAATGGCTATAATCGGGACCCCTGGGTGGCTCAGTCGGTTGAGCGTCTGACTTCGGCTCAGGTCATGATCTCACAGTTCGTGGGTTCGAGCCCCACCTCAGGCTCTGTGCTGACCTCTTGCTCAGAGCCTGGAGCCTGCTTCAGATTCTGTGTCTCCTTCTCTCTCTGCCCCTCCCCCGCTCATGCTTTGTCTCACTCTGTTTCTCAAAAATAAAGAAATGTAAAAAAAGTTTTTTTTCAAATAAAATAGAATGGCTATAATCAAAAATACAGAAAAAAAAAGACAGATAATAGCAAGTGTTGATGAGGACAGGAAGAAACTGGAACTTTCGTAGATGGCCCGTGGGAATGCAGAACGGTACAAAGCACCCTGGAAAAGTTTGTCTGTTCCTCTAAAAGCTACACACAGAATTACTATATGATCCAGCAATTCCACTCCTAGTTACGCATCCAAAATGAATGAAACACAGGAAGTCAAAGAGATAACTTGCATGTCAATGTTTATAGCAGCATATTCACTGTAGTCAAAAGGTCTAAGCAATCCAAATGTCCATCAATTGGTGAATGGATAAAAAGAATGTGGTATACACATACAGTGGAACATTTTCCAACCTTAAAAAGGAATGAAGTTTTGATACAGGCTGTACTATGAATAAACCTTGAAATACTATGCCAAGTGAAATAAGCCAGTAACCGAAGACAAATATGATTCTACTTACATGAAGTATCTAGGAAATTCACAGAGACTGAAAGTAGAATAGAGATAACCAGGGACCGGGGGCACCTGAGTGGCTCAGTCAGTTGACTTTCAGACTCTATTTTGGCTCAGGTCATGTTCTCACAGTTTGTAGCATCAGGCCCTACATTGGGCTCTGCGCTGACAGCGAGAAGCCTGCTTGGAATTCTCTCTCTCTCT